AATGCTGCAATAAACATAGCTTTAGTGTGGTCTTGTTTGTAAACTTTCGGGTAAATGCCCAAAATTGGGATTGCTGGGTCATAGGGGAGTTCTATATCATCTGATTTTTTTAACAAATATTTCTGATTGAGTTCATTTCCAAGGTGTTACAAACTATGTACAAGTTTAATTGTAAAAAGCATCTCAGTCCCCCCCCCCAAAAAAAAACCATGAGATGGTCTCTGTGGTATACCTGAATACTGTTTTTGTGGCATTTAGGCTGAATGTTACCAAAATGCCTGGCTGAAAGGCAAGATGCCTGCACTGGAAACCCTCAGAGCACTTTGAATCAGATCAGAACATTCTGATTGATGAAACGGATTCTCAGTTCAAGAACTTCATGTCCTTTATTTTGAGAAGTTCAGTGTTCATTACAGGATGACTTACTGCTGGACATGACAGGAAGTTTACTGTTCCCCAGGGATGGGGGGGAGGGGATATGACAAGCTGAACAGAAACTGAAGTCAAATGAAACACTGTCTTTTTTTTTTTTCTGGTGCATCTTAGGGTTGGTGAGCATCATGTCCTACAGAAATGCTGACCATTCTTACAGCATGTGGAAGGGTGGAGATGCTAGCACTTGGTAAGTAGATTTTGCCTTGTATTTTTCATACAGAGTTTGATTTACTCATTAAGAATAAAAGACAGTATGGAAACTCCATTCCTCCAGATGTTCAGACTGAAATCCTAGTCCTTCTTCAGTCCTGTCTTTCTTCTTCAGCCACATCTGAGCTTGGCTGTATCTTCAAACACATCCTGGATTTGACTACTTGTCAGCAATGACATTTATACCATTCTGGTCCTAAACCAACTTCCTGTCTGGAATATTGCACTCACTCCTTTAAATGCAACACTGCAGGATGGTGAAAAGGAATGAACTAGATCTACCGAGACAGCTTAAAAAACAACAACAACAACTGAACATTGAAGGGCAAAAATCAAATTTCAGAATGATCATTATAATTCGGTAATGATCCCTTAAAAACCCAACAAGAACTCTGTTTGAATTCACATATTTGTATATTAAAGATCCTCTTGGATCAATACTCACTCAACATGACACTGGAGTGACCAGTAAATATATGTTAGGTAATGTCACTCTAAAATGTTCAGGAGCTTCTCATATCTGGGGTTAAAATAAACACAAAAGAATGATATTGTATTGTTCATAAGGAAATGGAAAGACTTGGGAAAAATTATATTAAATGAAGTAAGCCAGACCCAGAGAAACCAAGCTTACATGGCTTCCCTCATTTGTGGTAGATAGAATGTACCTATAAATCAGAAAGTAAACAGGATGGGTGCTATGCAAATGATTAGAAATGAATTAATTGAAGTATAATAGACTCTATGGAGAGCTCAAATAATATAATCTTTTTGAAAGACTATATCAAAGCCCCACAAAATCAGCACTAGGGAATGGGAACATGAAAGGTAGTGAGGCTAAGGGGAGAGGAGTAAAGAAATGCAGGGGGGAAGAGGGAGACAATGCATCAATAATTCATTGCATATAACACAAAATTAAGAAAGGTAGGGAAAGGGGAGGGCCAAAGGCGGGGTGAGGATGTTGAAGGGGGTGACACTAACCAAGATGCATTGTACTCATAAACTGCTTTGTTAGATGGCACCTCCTTTGTACAACTACTTAAAGATAATTTTAATTTTAAAAAACACAATATTTTTATGATGGCTTCAAGAGGTCTTTAAGATCTGGCTCTTTCTTACCTCTCTCCTTGGTCTCCTATATTCAACTGTAGCTCCATGGCCTTCTTCCTATTTCTCAAACACACCAGGCGGACTTCCACTTCAGATCCAGCACTAATATTTCTCTTGGTTTTTAATGCTCCTCCCCATTCGTTGACTGAATGATTTGGAGAGTTTTTTCCCCATATATTTTCCTTTGTCATTTCATAAAATGGACACATGCTATCAAATCATATGCTTTCAATTTTTCTTTTTAAACAGTTATTATTAAGCAGCTGTTTTAAAAGGTTACAATTTGAGCCGGGCACAGGTGGCTCCCGACTATAATCTCAGCTACTCAGGAGGCTGAGATCTGAGGCTCATGGCTCGAAGCAGCCCGGCCAGGAAAGTCTGTGATATTTTATCTCCAAGAAACCACTAGAAAACCGGAAGTGGTGCTGTAGCTCAAGCGGTAGAGTGCTTACCTTGAGCTGAAGAGCACAGGGACAGCACCCAAGCCCAGAGTTCAAGCCCCACAACTAACAAAAAATAAATAAATAAAAAGGTTACAATTTTATAAGTCGGGTTATGACAATGCATCTTGATCTATTGTTCTCCCCGTTATTTCCCCTCCCAGCCTCAAGTTATATAGTCCAATGTTTACATAATGTACATAGAATATAATAACTGCATTTCTCACCCTTCCCCCACATATTTTTATTATTACCTTAAAATGTATGTACAAGGGGAGGGGTGTCAATTTATCATGTCCATATATGTATACAGTGGTTTTGATTAGAGATTGCCATCTTCTCCCATCTATCCCTTCCCTACCAGTCTCATCATCAAAATATTTTCTTTTAAAGAATAATAAACTAGGTGGACTCTGGTGGCTCACACCTGTAATCCTAGCTACTCAGGAGGCTGAGATCTGAGGATCACAGTTCAAAGCCAGCCTGGGCAAAAAAGTCCACAAGACTTATCTCCAATTAACCACCAGAAAACGAAAAATAGTACTGTGGCTCAAAATGGTAGAGTGTGAGCCTTGAGCAAAAAAGCTCAGGAACAGCTTCCCAGGCCATGAGTTCAAGTCTCATGACCAAAAAAAGCCCACAAAAAACAACAATCACACAAGAATAATAAACTGCGTGAAATAGGTGTGCTGTTAGTGGGATCCAGCAAGGACTCAGTATTCTAAAGGTGCACTCAATTTTGTCTTAAAGGTTAACAGCATTTGCTTTAAGAATACTTGGACAAGTACATGAATATATAGAACAGAATCAAAATTCAATTTGCAATTCTATATTGTGGCTGATTGAGAATTGCCAATTGGAAAATGGGTCTTTCAAGGAAAAATCCCAATATCATCCAGTAAAATTGCAGGTAAGGAAATCAGATGTACAAAATCACAATCAAATTTTTACAAGTTTGAGTTTCATTCACATTCTATTATGGGAAGACACAAAAGAAGAGAGAACAAATTAAAATATGTTTTTTTGTTTTTTGTTTTGTCGGTCATGGGCCTGAATTCTGGGCCTGGGCACTGTCCCTGAGCTCTTCAGCTCAAGGCTAGCTCTCTACCACTTGAACCACAGCACCACTTTTGACTTTTTCTGTTTATGTGGTGCTGAGGAATCGAACCCAGGGCCTCATGCATGCTAGGCAAGCACTCTACCACTGAGTCACCTTCCCAGTGACAAATTAAAATATGTAACCCAGAAAGAAACTTACTTTGTATATAGGACAATAATACACTGGGATTCCCTTGTGTTCTAGCATGGAAAGACCTTCAGATGGTTCCCATTAGTCAAATAAATAATATCTTATTCTTATCACTTATTTGAAACACCAAGCATCTATAACTCTTGGGAGTAAATTCCAGAGATTTTAGAATAAGTAAAATATACCTGTTTGATTCCTTACTTCTGATATTGGAGCTGTACCTAAAGTTCAGAGCCTGCTTATGAGTTAAGGTTATATGGTATTGTCATAAAAGATGCAACTCTATTTACATCCTATTACTAAGAGAGGTTAGAGACAATTAATGAAAAAAGTGCCACCAACTGCTTTCTGAGATGAGAACCTACTTCCAAATTTGGATTATAATTACACTATCACTCTTCTCTGGACTGTCTTCTACTCTTAAAATGTTTTTATTGATGATCCAGCAGAAATATTTTCTACATGCCCAAATCCAATGCCTTTCTTATCAGACAAGAATGGCCTCTATGGCTGACAATGGGTCTCATGATGGTCCTTTGTTACACCACCAGCAGACTACAGTTCCCAGAAGAAGTAGGAGAAACTGATCATATAGATGCCATTTGAAGAGCAAAACATTTTCCCCTCAGATAACCAGCTATCCATCCTTCAACATGCCCTCAACTACCATTGGCTGAGCACCTACTACATGCAAAAGAGTAGTGGGAAAGGAGAGTCAGGAAGAATATGTTCCAGATTAGATCTCTGTCACAAAGGACCTAGGACACTGGTAGAGAAGGGAATGGCTATGGGAATTCAAGTATTAATACCAGTAACTCTCATAATCTGTGTGAATAAATATCTAACAAATATGTAGTAAGGACTAGGTGGCAGAGACCCAACAGTGAACAGTATAGTTACTGGGGATAAAGAGCTTTAGGTCTAGCTGGCAAGTCAGGCAGTAATTAATTTTAAATGTCTGGTAACATATTAAGGAAAGGGAAATACAGTTTTATTGAAAATAGAGAATCCAATCTAGATTGGAAAAGCAAAAAAAAAAAGAGTTGCCTCATACTGCTAGGCAGGTACTTTACCACTGAGCCATACCTCCAGTCCTATTTTTTGTTGGTTGTTTTTAGGATAGAGTATGGCTTCTTGCTCAGGGGTACTCCCGGATCACAATCTGTTTCCCTCATTGCTGAGAGGACAGGGCCGGCACATCCAGCTTCCCTGCCTTGAGGAGGAATCGTGAAGATTGTTCTGCCTATGCTAGTGCAATCCTCCCAGTCTCAGCCTCCTTTGTAGTTTAGGGTGAAAGGCACACACCATCATGCTCAGATATAGGTTTGAGAAGGGATCTATCTCATGAACTTTTCTGCCTAGGCTGGACTCAAACCACAATTCTCCCATTCTCAGCCATTCAAGGACTGAGGATTACAGGTGCAAGACTGTAACCTGGTCTATATTGGTTTCTAAAGTAGCTGCACTAATTTACATTCCAACCAGCAGTGTACAATGGTTCTCTTTCCTCTCATTCTTGCCAGCACTTCCCCTTTTGGATCATGGCTTTCCTCACAGATGATTTCTCACTGTGCTTTTAATTTGCATTCCCTGATGATTAGTGATGTTGAACATCTTTTATATGCCCGATGAGCCTACCAATTTGAATTCCAGAAAGAGAGAGAGAGTGTTCTATTCAAAGAACAGGGGCCAATAAAGCTGGAGAGGTAAACCAACTTCACTGAAAAGTCTTATAAGCATTATACTGGGTTATCATTACTCTAAGAACAGAGCTCATGTTGCAGTACTCTGCAGACAAGTTAGCTTTTGAACAGGACCTTGGAAAGAAGGAGAGTTTAAATGTAGTGAAGTATGAAGTGGGGATTGGGGGTTTGGGCAGGGTAAGTGAAAAAGGCTGTGGGAAAATCCGAGTGCTTAGGAAGAAAATGTAAGCCATCCAGCTAGACTCCACAAAGGGGAAGAGTGGGAGAAGGCTCAAAACAGAGATTAAAAACAGATAATTTCTCTGAAAACTCCACTTTGTCCTCCTTTTAAAATATTATTATAGGGTACCTTGCCTGTTGAAGCTCAAGAAAATACCTTGTATATGACAGCCTTTTCTGTGATTGGAATTAGAAAGTCCTTTGACATTTGTCCCCTGACGGTAAGTATGAGTTCTCTTTTTTTTCCCTAGCTGATCTCTTGCTGTGTCTTCTTCTGAGGAGGCTATACCCATCTGATGACACGTATTTTCAAATACTTCTTTTTCTACTTTTCATATTCCTTGAAAATGACTAACTCAAGGGGTTACCAAACTGTGACAGATATTTGAGTCACTTTGTCTCACCTCCTCATGGAAAGCTAAGAAAGCTGACCCCTGGAAGGTAAGGTGAATTTGTTACTAAACTGCAGAGCTGGGACAATAACTGGAACTATCTTGGGAAAAATGACCCAGCATCCCCAGCTTCCTTGACCTATCTTTGTGAGACATCACTGTCATTTGAGTACTGAAGACACACAGAGAGGCTGTAACTCAGGGAAACACCATAGGAGCTTCCAGAGATGATCAGAGGTGACCCGAGCTAGGTCCCTGGGCTGAGGTTAAATACTCTTGCCTGCAAAGCAGAAGTGAGTTACACACATCCTTTGAACCTGAGATGGGCAAACCCAAAGGGATTTGCAGAACATTAACTGCAGAACCAAACTACTTTTTAGTTTGTTTCACAGATGTTTGTACTTGCTCTCAAGATAGAAAGAATCAAAGGAGGACAGTTCCCAGGAACCTAACTGATCAGTTGGCACTAAAGTTTACATAAGTGAGAGGCACAGGTGGAGCTGGGAGAGAAAGAGCAACCACAGCTACTCTGCTAGTACTCTCAGCCTGGAGTGATAAGGACTTTGTTACCAGGAATTTTTAGGAGAAAGGAGAAAGCACAAGACTTCTTTCATTATTATTATTATCATTATTATTATCATTTTACTTTATTTATTGTTTTGTCAGTTGTGAGGCTTGAATTCAGGCACTGTCCCTGAGCCTCTTTGTACTCAAGGCCAGAGCTCTATCACTTGAGCCACATAAGAGTCTCATGAGGACTTTTCTGCCTGTACTGGCTTCAAACTGCATTCCTTAGATCTCAGCCTCCTATGAAGCTAAAATTACAGGCGGGAGCCAACCGTGCAGGTTGAGCTGATAGGAACATGCATGTGTGCATCATATAATGCTTGAATTAGAGTAAATATAGTATTTCTCCATAAACAACATTTACTTATAATAAAAACTTTCACAATCCTTTTAACTATTTCCTTTGAAAAATAAACATTTAACTCTGGCTCAAAAAAAAGAAAGAAAGAAAGTACTTTGTCAGTTTTACTCTTTTTCTGCTGCTTGTGTGTGCTTTTACGGTTCCTTTTGAACATGTGAGAATGTCTCAGCTAGGCTGAGACGGAAGATGAAAGTTGTCATGTTTATCTTTTGTGCTTTTTCTGGGGGTTATGCTGGATGATGCAAATCAGAAGAAACTCAGGGACAAAATAAAAAAAAAACTACTCCAAAGGGAAAGTGGGAATTCCTAGGCAAACACTTCACTTAATTATGGACATCCACTTTTTTTTTTCTCCAGAAAGTACACTCTGCCCCTTCTCTCCAAGAATTGTTAGTCTGAGACACCATCCACTTCCATTCTGGGTCTTGGCTCCATCCTTCATCTTTCTGCTCCTGGCTGGTACAACCTGAGGGGTGGTACCATCAGTCTGTAGACTGACGCTTGGCAAAGTAATAAGTTTTCTCTGGTCTTATTTCCAGAAAATCAGCACAGCTCTAACAAGAGCTGACAGCTTCCTGTTGGGAAATACCCTCATGTCCCAGAACATCTTCACCCTGGCCATCGTGGCCTATGCTCTCTCCCTGGGAGATAAAACACACCCCCGGTTTCGTTCAATTGTTTCAGCTCTGAAGAAGGAAGCCTTGGTGAAAGGTAGGACTCATCCACACGGGCACCCAGCAAGTGTGCACTCAGTGCACAGTCCTCTAATTCTGGGAAGAGGGTGGCATACAACATCAACTAAGGCATGGCTGGCCTTTAAGAGCAAACCATCCCACTGCAATGGAGTACGTGAGGTATTCATTTGCCCATACATTCAGCAAATGTGTTTCATCCCCTCAGTCAACTAATACATATTGAGTATCCTGTGGACACCTCCAGTATAATACACGCTGTTTTATGCTCTAGAGATTAAGCAACAAACAAAATAGACTAAAAAAGGCCTACAGTTCCAAATTGTTGTGACATTTCCATTGTAGTTAGGGGGAGATTCACATGATACATGATAAAATGTTGTGAATAGGTTGGTGAAGGATGATAAAAAGGAAAATAAAGCAGGGAAAGAAGATAAGAGAAAGGAATGGGTTGTGATTTGAGCTAGGCAACCAGGCCTAAGTCTGGCACAGCCTTGTGTCACTTAATGGTGGGAGTGCATTCCAAGACATACCTAATTAGGCAATTTTTCCATTGGATGAACATCATGGGGTGTATGACCCTAACTACTGTAGCCCACTGTATTTTGCTAGACCGTACAGTAAAACACATTCTGTATATATGGTCTGTTGTTGACTGAAATGTCACTGTACAGCCAGGACTGTACTTGAGTGGAGACCAGAAAGGTAGTTTAAGGAAGCAAGACCTGTGGATTTGTAAAAGGGTGTAGAGCATGTACAAATGGCCTGGGGCTTGAGCATTCCTGATGCTCCAAGAATGGCAAAGAAAGCCATATCACTAAAGAGGGCTGACAGGAGGAGTAGGAAGTGAGGGCATGGGCCAAAAGCGTGAAGGAGTGAGGGCAGGTTGTGTAGGAAGCTAGCAGCCATGACAGGGACTCTTCCGAGTGTCTGTGGATAGTTGTGCAACAGCCAGGATGTCAATTGCAGATCGTTTCAGCTCAGCTCTCACCCAATACTTGAGATTGGGTAATTTATGAAGGAAAGAGGTTTATTTTGGCTATAGTACTGGAGGTCCAAGAATATAGCGCCATTATCTGAGGGGCTCCTGGTGAAATTTTGTGATGAAAATAAGAAGGCAAGTGGGTACGGGACAGAGGAAAGGGGACTGAGCTCCTGGTATAATAAAGCCATTGCCAGGAGGAACACACGCATCCTTTCATGAAGGTTCCACCCCCACTACCCAATCACCTGCCTTCAGAGCCCCCTTCAGTGCTGTGGCACTGGGGACCAAGCCCCACCCTGTGGTAATTATTGAGACGTCATAATTATTGAGGCTGAACTCTGGCCCAGGCTCACTCAGCTGCCAGTGCTGGTTTATGTCTCCTCCACTCAGAACAAGAACCGCAAGTGTCCACTCCACATTAAAGTGCTCTCAGGGCCAGAGGGAGACTAGAACTCCCATTTTGAGGGCCACTGCAGGGCTTTGAGCAAAGTGGTATGGGACCTGGTTTGTCTCTTGACCAGCAGCAGGACCATGCCCTTTCCTTTTTTCTTTTTTTAATTAAGTTTTTTATTGTGAAAATACTGTACAGAGGGGTTACAGTTACATGAGCAAGGTAATGAATACATTTCTTATCCAGCATTTTTGCCTCCTCCTTTGTTTTTCCCCTACCATCCCTTCCCTCCCACTTCTTCAGCTACATCCCCCACTCCCACCTCCTCACCCACGCCTCCCCAACCCCGCCTAAATTGTAAAGTTCATTTTTCAACATGGCATCTTGTACATCTCATTGTTGCAATGGGTCAATCTGTACCCCTATTTAAACAATTTGTTTTATCCTTTCTGCCCCCCAAATTACACCAACATCAAATACAGTGAAAATAGGGGTTATACCGTGGGAGAGGGACATACAAAGCAACAAAAAAAATCACATGGTACCTTATAATTAGAAACAATAGCAAGGAAGAAATAAAAACACTGTGTCCCTATCTTTGGGTTCATTTCGCTTAACATCATCTTATCTGACCTTTTCTGCTTGTCCCAGAAAACTAGTTATTGCAAATAAGGGAAACCATGGGATCTGTGTTTCTTTGGGCCTGGCTTACTTCATGTAATATAATTTTTTCCAAGCCTTTCCATTTCCTAACAAATGGGGCAATGTCATTCTTTCTGATGGAGGCATAGAATTCCATTGTGTATATATACCACATTTTCTTGATCCATTCATCTACTGAGGGGCATCTGGGTTGGTTCCATATCTAAGCTATGGTAAATAATGCTGCAATAAACATAGCTGTGCTGGTAGCTTTAGTATGGTCTTGTTTGTGATCCTTTAGATAAATGCCCAAAATTGGGTCATAGGGGAGCTTACGTGGAGTCTTTAGGGATTTAGTAACAACTACAAATTTTCACTCTGTTGCCCTTTAAAAAAACAACTAAACTTTTACCATATACATGAATACATATACATATCAGACAGAACCAATGTACAGTACTTCAAAAACAACATAACAATGTCTTTGGTGCTGCAAAAACATTCATAGAATCATAGAATTTGAGAGCTAGAAAATAGCTTACTCATTTAAATAATATTTCATTTCTGATTGGGATAGATAAAGCTTGCATTTTCTTTGTCAGTCTTGGGGCTTGAACTCTAGGCCTGGGTACTGTCTTGTCAGTTCTTCAGCTCAAGGCTAGCACTCTATCACTTGAGCCACAGCACCACTTCTGGCTTTTTCTGCTTATGTGGCACTAAGGAATCGAACCCAGAGCCTCATGCATGCAAGGCAAACACTCTACCACTGAGCCACCTTCCCAGCCCTAAAGGTTGCATGAGAGGGAAAGAAAAGTATCTTGTCCACAATCATGCCAATTATGTAATTAGGAATTGATCAAAATTGTCTAGTCAAAAAGGCTTTATTGGTTTGCTTTTTTTAAATCACTTGTTCCAAGAATGATTTGAGACAACCATTTTGAATTACAAGAGTATTAATAAATATAGGTTAGAATCCAAATTATGAAGTATGCTGTGTACCTGACAAAGCCAGTGGCTTAAATTGAGAGGTAATAATAGTAAAAAAGACCTAACTTAAGGATTTGGGTGCTATCTCATAACTCCCAAATATGATTTTTTTTCCTTCAGGGGAGAAGGGTTCTCCAGTTTGTCTTACAGTGTTCTGATAAAGAAAGTCAGTAGCTTTGGGAAACCAGAAGGCCTTTAATACCTGTTAGAATGACTTCAAATTTACATTTTTATTCCATCAGGTGATCCACCCATTTACCGGTTTTGGAAAGACAATCTCCAACGTACAGATAGCTCAGTACCTAACACCAGTACAGCAGGAATGGTGGAAACTACTGCCTATGCTCTACTCACCAGCCTGAGCTTGAAAGAGATGAATTATGTCAACCCAATCATCAGATGGCTGTCTGAAGAGCAGAGATACGGAGGCGGCTTTTATTCCACCCAGGTAATGTCTCCTTGGCTTGTTTCACCCTCTTGTAGATAGTTCCATTGTTTCTCACAGCACACATTCCATTCTCATCCTTGGCCTCCATGTCCTTGTCTCCACCAAATAAGCTGCCATCTGTATGACTAAATGGCCCTCTAGAAGTAAATGCACTAAGGTCTTTAGTAGATGAAGGAGGAAATGAGCCTAGACAGGTTCATCGAAGGAGCCAGTGGCAGAGCCAAGGTCACAACTCATTTATCTTCACTCTAATCCCAGGCTTCCTTCATGATGCTTAATGACTATTGAAGGCTGGTAAGGTTATCAGAAATTATGTCATACCTTATGTGCTCCCTCTTCTGCAAAAATAAAAATAAAATAAAATTTAAAAAGCAGTAGAAACACTGGCTGTACTGTTAACCTACTGATCAGTCATTGAGCACGTATATTTTATATTGTAACTAACTTGTATAACAGTTGTATAATAGGCACTTGCTATGTACTACTGTTTTGGTCAATGATAGACTGCTTACACATTGGTGTTGTCATAGGATTATAGCAGAACTGGCTGGAGGCCTGGCTCACATGGTGGACTGCCTGATTAGCAATATGAAAGAAACCCTGAGTTCACACACCAGAACTGCTAAAGCAACGATGATGGATCTGAAAAGTTCCTATTGCCTCGAGATGTTTGTAGCTGTCAGAATATTGCAGCATAACGTATTATACATGTGTTTGTAGTAATGCTGGTGTGAACAAACCTACTAGTCTAGCAGCTGTATAAAAGTAGAGCATATGCAAATATGTACAATACATAATACTTGATGATGATAAGAAACAATTATGTTACTAGTTGACTCATTTACACCATTGACTGTAGTACACTTTTGGAAGGACGCTGGGGCCTAAACCCAGGACCATGGCCATGCTACGCACACTGTACTACACTATGGCTCCCTACCCTGTACTTTTTAGTGTTTAATTTTTAGATAGTACTCATTCTGCTTACACAAAGAAACTTTACTGTAAAACAGTATGCTGTGAATCACCAACCTCATAAGTATGTTGAGTGACGGATCTATACCTTCCATGTTTCTGTGAGTCTACCCTATAAATGTGTGCATAAAGACAGAATTGCCTAACAATATTTTTATAAATTTTTTTGTCAGTCATGGGGCTTGTACTCTGGGCCTGAGCGTTGTCTGTCTCCAGCTCAAGGCTAGCGCTCTACCAGTTGAGCTACAGAGCCACTTCCAGTTTTCTGGTGGCTTATTGGAGATAAGAGTTTCATGGACTTTCCTGCCTAGGCTGGCTTTGAACCATGATCCTCAGGTCTCAGCCTCTTGAGTAGCTAGGGTTACAGGCGTGAGCCATAGTGCCCAGCTTTTTTTTTTTTAAATAACATTTTTATATCTGCATCATTAAGCATTACATGGTTGTAAATCTTTGTTCAAAGTCTAGCTCAAATGTTAACATCTCTGCTCCCTGGATATTTGGGTAATAATGGAATATATATTATTTATTTTATATTATACATTATATATTCACTATACATTATGTAATATATATTATGTTACGTAGTTCATCATTTTCTTTCTTTATATACTTATATTTATACACATACGTATTACAGATACAAGGGTTCTCTGAGACAACTTCAGGCTTAGCTGGAAAAAAACATCCCATGGATTAGGTGGACATAGCATATGGATCTGCCACAGACATAGATGGAGTAGCCATGTAGTTAATGTTTAACATCTAATCAGTTTCCTCATCTTGTAGAAGAGGAAGGTTGAGATTCAGAATGATAAGTTTATTTATTCCATAAATGCTTTTTGCATGGTGACTGTATGTTCCAACTAAATACAACTGACAGTCTCAGTCCATTTTTGCTGCTTTCACAAAATACCACGGGCCACCTAATTTATAATAAATCTATTAGTTCATGGTTCTAGAGGAATGGAAGTCTATGATTTAGAGCCCAGAATCTGGCAAGAGTAATTGAGAGAGAGAGAGAGAGAGAAAGAGAGAGACAGAGATAGAGATAGAGAACATAACCCAGCAGACAAGTTCATTGTTTTATAAGGAAATCTAGTACAATAATAACATTTATGCATTTCTGAGAGTGAAACCCCAATGATCCAAATATCTTCAATTAGATTCCACTTCTTAACATTGATATGTTGAGGATTAAATTCTAACTCATGAACAGGAGAAAGGGGACAGTCAATCCATAGTAGACACCAAGAAAGGTATACTTCCTGTCCCCACTACAGGGGAAGAGGCCAGCAATAAACTAGCTATAAGTAAAAATATAAATTAATATAGATGTTTAAAAGGGCAGAAAGGAAATACTAGAACAGAGAATGACTACAAGGGAGAGTCTATGGTCTTGCTGTGAAGATATTTAAACTGAGACTGAAGAAGGAGAAAGAGATTATCATGCAGAGCCAAGAGCATTTCCCAGGGTGACTTGTCTGAGGTGACATGTACAAAATGTATAGGAGACACAATATCTGAAGTCATTTTCTTCCTGTCCCTGCTGACAGGAACATCTTTATTTGTGTGTGTGTGTGTGTGTGTGCACGCGCCAGTCCTCGAGCATGAACTCAGGGCCTGGGCATTGTTCCTAAGATTTTTGCTTACTCTATTACTGGGTCCATGGCTCCACTTTGGCTTTTCTAGTAGTTAATTGGAGATGTGTTTCATGGACTTCTGCTAGGGCTGGCTTCCAGTCGTGATCCTCAGATCTTAGCCTCTTGAGTAGCTAGGAATACAAGCATGAGCCACCAGGTGCCCAGCTAGGAACATCCTTATGAAGAAGGCAAAAACCTTTCACCTCCACAATGGGGCCCTTAAGTAGCTTCATTCGCTCAGCTGGAGTTTTATCTGAAGACAGCGCTGCTTACCCTTCTCATGTAAGAGGACATTTGTAAGCCTGTATAAGCTTAATTTATTTTTATGTCTTCCTGATGGCTGATAGGACACCATTAATGCCATTGAGGGCCTGACAGAATATTCACTCCTGATTAAAAAACTTCAGCTGAATATGGATATCAATGTCTCTTATAAGCACAAAGGGGACTTCTATCAGTATAAGGTGACAGATGAGCAATTTCTTGGGAAACCAATAGAGGTAAGTGAAATTTTTTTCCTACTATTTTACAATTGGGTGAAACCATATTTAAATCATCTGTTCCTCCCTTATTTTACAAATGAGTTCATTCACTATTTAAATGTATGTCGGCCCTCTGCTATTTCCTAAGGAGAGAGGGATATCTATTATATCTTGGACACAGAGTATTCAAAAGCAAAATATAAAGAACATGTGTATTGGGGAGAGACATCATTGAAACAGATGATGAAAAATAAGAACATGGATAAGTACAAGAGAAGAGGGCAGACCTCCTGATCCTGGCTGACAGATTTGGAGACAGAGTACTCAGATACGTGGGTTAAGTCTGGAAGAATAAAAATGGAGCTGGGCACTGGTAGCTCACACCTATAATCTTAGTTATCCCAGGTGGCTGACATCTCAGGATCATGGTTCAAAGCCAGCCTGGGCAGTAAAATCTGTGAGACTCTCATCTCGAATTAACCACCAGAAAACTGGAAGTGGCACTATGGCTCAAAGTGGTAGAGCTAGCCCTAAGTAAAGAAGCACAGGAATAGCATCCAGGCTCTGAGTTTAAGCCCACAACCACCACCAACCAAAAAAGAGCTATCTGTGTGAGGGAAAGGGAAGAACATTTGGGATAGAGGTAACATCACTCACTAAGGTGGTAGTGTTGTGTAGGAAAGAAGACATAGTTAGAATTTGCTGCTAGTTCTTTCTGGTATCTTGTACATTGTCACCAGCCTGGAATTGGCCTTTAGGTCCTAAACTCCTTTCCCTGTGTCCTATATTGCTAAATTGTTAAAGATGAAAACTTTGAAAATTTCCCAAAGAAAAGGACACAGTGGAGGAAGTAGCTTCTGTGTTATTATTAGCCGCCAGCATCTAGCTACAAATACATGTTTTCTAATTACCAGATTTGTATTATTCCCTATATGAAAATATATAAATAAGAGAAGTCCTCAGCATCTCCACATCTCCCTGCCTGTGAAAAGTGAATGGGCATGAGGAAGAAAATTCAATGCAAAAATTACAAACCAAAGGCTCATCGTAAAAAAAAAAAAAAAGATATGGATGTAGACATAGACATAAGTCTATGGCAATATATATACATCCAGAGTTTTCACACACCAATCTAATTCCCAATTTCTCAAAAAAAAATAGAACAAAACAAAACCAACAAAACAAAGCAACTAAAAAGCTGGAAATGTGTAGTTCTGGGTTTTGGCATGCTTCATCCCTGGGCCATTGTAGCCTTTGTGGCTCCATTATTTTTGCTGTGTCCCCTCAGCTCAGGATGTGTGTTCCATCCCTGGAGTACTTAGAACTCACCAGAGTACTGTTCTGACTCTAAACTCTAATGAGTAGCTCTTGGTTTGAGGAGTGTGGTTAGGCCTAAATGAGGTTGATGGACTTAACATTTTTCTTATAGAAGTAAAGTTATCAGAATCTTCTTGTCATCTTAAAGTAACTTAAAATTCAGCCCAGGGTGTTGCTTCTACAAGAAACCTCTGGATGGTTAGTATCTAGTTTGGAATTCTCTATACCAGCACTTCTGGAAATGTGGTATAGCGAAGCAATGTTAGGTGGTTGAGTAAGCAGGGGAAATGCCAGTTTAAATGAATTTGAACAACTTCTTTAATACAGGAATGTCCTTTAAAAAAAAAGTATGTCTGTGCCTAAGAAGTGATGAGGATTGTGAGGGGGAAGCAAGACAGAGGTGGGACTCAGTACATACCATTTCTAACACCTGTCTATTCATAGAAACTTTCCTTATGCATCATCTCACGACACATGGTCCCCAGCAGATGCTGCAGTATTCTGCCAGGGAGAATAGGAGATGTGGCCTCTTTTCCTAGGCCTGATAAAATTTTAAGGATATATTGGCAAACAGGAATGCACGCTGTGTCTCTTTTGCAATCATGAGCCTAAGCAACGAGAAGGGGAAGTTGCAGACCTGACACCAAAGGAGAGCTTCAGACTGCCACAAGTTGAGGAGCACTTGGATGAGAGGATTTCTCTGGCGAGGATAATTGCTTAGCTCAGTATGTCTTCATTTTTCTCCTAGCAACAGCACTGATGGATTGCTTAGCAGGCTTGAGGGTGGTACTGAGAGTTTTGACAAAGGCCAGAAACAAATAGGAAAGGTGAATGAATTATCAGGAGGTAGAAGTAAGTTACAAAGAGGATAGTAGTAGAGCACCAAAGACATCTCATACCCACATACCCACACTGGAATCATGTGTCTCAACGCTAATGAAAACAACCTCCCCTGGTACATAGAAGTCTCAGCTGGACACTGAAAGAAATTTATCCAACTGGTAAAGAAAATGAAGAACTAGTTTTAGTCTAACCATCTATATGGTTATAAGGTATACAGTTAGTTAACTCTAGATATAGCAATACGACCAAAAGTGACCTCTGATGTGTTTCTTTTATTTGCTCATCCAAGAGATCTTAGACATCTAATTAACATTCAAAAGGGAGACAGAAAATTCTAACACCTTCTAGTGCCTATAAACGCCTAGGATTTTCTTATCCACTTAACTTTAAGCTCTGCAAGGGAAGACTGGCAGTTGAAAGCCCATTGTCTTCACTACTCTGTTTCTCTTCCTAAGTTAGGGAATGTTGAATACAAGCATGGTTTTTGTCTCTGTTTCCAGGTGCCTCTCAATGATGACCTCATCATCAGTACAGGATTTAGCAATGGCCTGGCTACAGTACATGTGAGTATTTAGTGGAGATCTAATGAGTCTGTTTCACCAGATAGCACAGAAGTTAAGGACTTTGCAAGAAAGTCATAGAAATCTGAGCTTTGATTCAGGGACAGTACCGGGGCCACGTTCCAGCCCCAGGACAGGCACAAATACAAACCCTAAATACATGGCTACATTTATAAAGTGTAAATAAGAGGAATCAAATCAAAACTGGAAGTTGAATCTGATCATCTTGAAGAGTTTAATAGTCTCATTAATAATATATCCATAAACTGTATTCATTCATTAAGCAGAATAAATAAACATATTCCATGGGGAGGAAAAAGAAATCTTAGTTTTAATAACTGACTCAAATAGGATTTGTCTAATGGTTTTTCTTTCTTTTTGGGGGAGGGGGGGTTCGGTTGTGGGGCCTGAACTCTGGGCCTGGGCGCTGTCCCTCAGCTCTTCAGCTCAAGGCTAGCGCTCTACCAGTTGAGCTACAG